TCGTGCTCCAGTGCAATCTTTAGTAGATATTGTTTTCGAAGAACAACCTCGGTCACGACACACCATTGTAGCTTACATTGTTTTAGATTTCTTTTTGAAGTTGTATCGATTCTTTTTTCCAGACAGGTGTTAAGGTTTTTATTTAGTAGACTGCAGAAAATACCAGAGCTGGTGTACAAAACTTCTAGTTTGTAGATACAGCATGAGCAAAGTGGTGAACTGATTATTCAGTTAACACGTCATTTTACGTTCTATTTTCGATAAAATACTAACAGAAACGATTTAAATTAATGCAAATTTATCAGTATATTCATTTACGTTTGCGCAGTTTCTCGACCATGTTACCGAACAAAAGAAAACGTAATCCTCTCACAGATCCAACGTCTAAATAGTAAATATGACCGTAGGAAAAGAAACTATAGCCGAGAACATGACAAACAAAGCAGAAGCAGAGTTACTCGATATACAAGGACTTCAGAATTTAATCACGATTACGATTTGTATGTATAACAACTGTACATTATCTCGTCAAGAGCAAATCCTGCTGCACTTCACAAAACAATCGTCAAAAAGTTACGAGCTATTCGAGTTCCCCCTTACCGATCGATTGCCGATAAAGAAAGCTCAAACTCTGCATACATCTCCAAAAGCATAAGAGAATAACCGAAAAAAAAAATCATGGAGATATAGCAGCAAAAGCAAGAGATATCAGCTCGTTCGACAGCAAGAAACCATCGGGATCACTCAGCCGAAGAAACCCTACCATCTCATTCGACATCGAAGATACAATAAACTCGTCATATTCGACTTTTCTTCTTTTTTCATCCAAGCAAATCACGTGCCCGCTTTCCACATAAGGTCTATAAACCTCACAAATCGAGCCCCTCACCGAATCGCCGAAAGCTTCCCCAAAAGCTCTCAAATCCAAACCCTCGGCTGTTCTGAGAGAGAGCATAACAACATCCGTAGCCAAATCCTTGGCATCAACATCGAAATCGACAACACCATCTTCGGTGCTTTCGTTTTCCAGATTCTGCACGTAGCCCACATAATCCTTCAGCTTCCTTGGCCTCGAAAACCTAACTCCACGAAGATAACTGGCAGAACCGAGCCCGAAAGCGTAGAAAGATTTGTTCTTCCAATACGTACTATTGTGCTTGCATCGATAACCGCTCTTGCAGTAGCTACTGATCTCGTAGTGGTCGTACCCTGCTTCACCCAGCATTCTCGAAGCTGTTTTATAAAACTCGGCCGATTGATTCTCCGATGGCAGTGGAAATTCACCTGGAGTGTATCTGTCAAGAAACAAATCTATTTCATTTTTTTTTTTAATTCAGCAACAATTATTAAATACGGAAAAAGATGCAATCTTTACACAAAGTGTAGAAAATTTTGACTCACAGGACTCCAAACTTGGTTTCTTGCTCGACCTGGAGATCGTAAACCGAAACATGAGTGGGCTGAGATTGAATAGCGATCCGTAAACTCTCCTCCCACATGCTCGGTGTTTGATGCGGGAGCGAAGAAATGAGGTCCACGCTCCAATTCTCAACACCGCAAGTATTGACAATCTCGATAGCTTCGTAAATTTCACTAACTCCATGAGCTCTCCCGCAGGACTTTAAAAGCTCGTCTTGGAAAGCCTGCACGCCCAACGAGACTCGATTCACTCCGACATTCATCAGTTCCTTCATTGCAGCGGCATCGAAAGTGCCGGGGTCCATTTCCATCGATATTTCAGCATTGCCACAGACGCCGAATTTAGAGGACAGTGCATCAAGAACAGAAGAAACGAGCTGCGGGGGCACGAGCGAAGGGGTGCCCCCACCGAAGAACACCGTTTCGAGAGGTGGGCTGCTGTTGTTGTTGGTGGAAGAGCTCAACTTCTTTGTGGCCTTGATTTCTCTGCAGAGGGTTTCTACGTAGTTAGAGATACGTGGGTCGTAAGTATCGTTCTTCTCCGGCGTGGTGGTGTTGGTGGTGGAGGAGGAGCCGAGAGCGATGATGGGGAAGTCGCAGTAGTGGCAGCGTTTGCGGCAGAAAGGGAGGTGGACGTAGGCGGATGTGGGCGGTAGCTTGTGCTGGAGTAGTAAAGAAGGTGAGGTGGTGTTGGGTGAGGCATTTTGTCGAACAGTTGGTGTGCCTTGTGGTGTAAGGGAATTGTTTCTGCAGAAAGCTGTGAATGAGAGCTTTGTGGGATTGGGTTTTGTAGGGATAACAATGGCAGCGAATAACGGAGTGAAGGTTGATTTCAGAAGCATGTTCGCTGCTGACTGACTGATGGGTGTGGAGAGGGTTCTATAAAATTACTCTAAGAATTCTCTATTCATAGTACTGCCTTAATCGGGAAAATTACATTTCTAGTCCTCAAATTTTACTCACTCTTTCAAAATTGTCCCTAAACATTTTGAAGTTACATATTAGTCTTCAATCATGCCAATTTTTAACAAAATTAGTCTGCCGTTTACATTTCCAGTCAAGTTGGATGGAAAATGGTATCTATATCTCACGTATTTACATCGCTACAAGAAAAAAGGGACTTTTCACAAAATGCACCACGTGTTGTTAAAACAAAATTTTCATTATTATTATTTTTTTTTTAAATTTAAATTTGTTATAAAGATCAAAATCACTTGGATTTTAAAAATCGAAATATCGTTTCAAAATTGGGGTTTTCGAAATTCAAATGCAAAATATTGTTTCAAATTAAAATAAAAATCAGATTAACATTGGCGGAATAAGAACACCACTCCAATTTTCACCCCTACTAAATTCGGAAAATCCCGATTTTGAAACAATAATGAGTTTCACATCATTCAATAGGGTTGAAAATTGGAATGGATTTTTCTTATCCCGCCTATTTCGATCAGATTTTTATTTTATTTTAAAACAACATTTTTCATTCGAATTCCAAAAATCCCGATTCTGAAATAATATTTTGATTTTTTAAACAATATTTCTGAAAATATTTTGAAGCAATAGTTCGAGTTGAGTTTTTTTTTTTTTTTTTTTTTTTTTTTTGGAATTTACGTGATTTTGGTTTTCAATCTAATTTTAATTACAATTTTTTTTTCTAACGACACACATTACGTGTTGTAAAAAGTAGTTTTCCTCGTAGAGTTGAAAATAGAAGGCACATGTGGGCAGGTGCCATTTCCCATCCAATTTAACTGAAAAATAAACGGCGGACGATTTCTATGAAAAAAATGATTAAGGACCAATTTTGTAAGTCAAAAATATTTAGGGACTGTTTTGAAAAAGTGAGTAAAGTTTAAGGACAAAAAAATATAATTTTCCGGTCTCAATTGGTGCACGAAAATTGTATAGAAATGTACTTCGAACTAGTTCACAATGGATCTTTTACCTAGAAATAAAACATATGTAGGGATGACAGCGGAGCGAGTACCCTCGAAAAAAGTGCAATACCATAACCATTACAATTTAATACAGCTTAAACCACAACCATACCAAACTCATTTGAAAAGTTTATTGGAATACCAGAAACATTACCACTAATATCCAGTTACCCACGGGTAACCATTTACCATTTAAATTATGGTAATACGAAATAATTTGGGGCCAATAACTTTTCAGTACCTCTCAGAAAAACATAAGAAAAAAAAGGACGCAAAACTTTTAAGTAAATTATACAAAATGAAATAAAGACACTTTACAAAAATTGATGTTCCAAGGCAACAAAATGATGATTAGAAAGCAATATCCACTACAATATATTGAAAATATATTATGAAGTACGAAAATTATGATACACAATTGACTGGAATGATACGAAACTTGTTATGTACTTGAGTAATTTATTAAGTAGTAAAGTTGTAGTTTTCCTATATTATTTGATACTTTATTTAAAAAAAATAACAAATTATTTTTTATTTATATTAAAGGGAAAACTACAGATAAATCCCTAATCCAAAACACAAAACACAGATCAGTTCCTAGGTAGTTTCCTCAAGCAAATCAGTCCCTACTTACGCGTCTAACATGCAGATCAGTCCCCAATGTGAATTTAATAAATTTTTTTATATTCTCTCTTCTTTTTTCACTCTCATCATTTTGTCTCTCTTCCTTTTCTCACTCTTCCTTTTCTTTTTCTTTCTTCTCTTTCTTCCTTTCTATCTGCTCTATTTATTCTCTCTTTCTCTCATATGGTTTCCTCTTTTTCCGACGAAAAAAGCTCTATTTCTTCTCTCTTTCTCTCATCTGGTTTCCTCTTTTTCCGACGAAAAAATCACTGTAAAACCCACCCACCCCACAATGGCTACAAATGATGTACCAAATGATGTGCCCACTGTGATTCTTGGAAGTTGTCGATATAAAGATCAACTTCACATTATTTCCATCAAAAGTAATTCGACCTTAATGGAGATATATGGTGCTATTATCAACAAGTGGAATCATATCCATCCAGATGCACTGATCCTCCAATACTTGGCTCCTCGGGAAAGATTGTATGTGAAATTGGGTAGTGATGAAGATGTGGAGAATATGGTTGCATTGCATCTGATAATGAAGATGAGTGGAAGAGGGTTCGCACCGATGGCTGGTAGGTCTCCATCCTTTTCTGTACTACTGAAAAGCATTTCTTTATGTTGTTAATTATTGTGTGATACACATTATAGAATATGACACGTAATAGTATCATGCTAATATAATTATGGTATGGACGTATGGTACTTACAGTACGTAGACGTTATTCGTATAGTATGGGTGATAGGTAAATTTGGTACTGTTGGTGAAAAAACATAGTATCATATAATGGGGAAGATAGTACGTAACCGTTATTCTTATAGTATGTGTGATATGTAAATTTGGTACTGTTGGTGGGAAAACATAGTATCATATAATGGGGAAGACAGTACGCAACCGTTATTCAGACATTATGCGTGATAGGTAAATTTAGTACTATTTGTGGGAAAACTTAGTATCATATAATGGAGAAGACAGTATGAAATCAATGCATATTAGTATTTTTCATTGTTTACTAGTTATGATATTTTCATGTACATTGTTATTTGGATTCCACTCTATTGTAATCCATTTTTTAATTATTTTTCAAACCAAAAGCAGCGATCAATCGATGGAAATCGAGGGTAATCCACTTGGAAATTTGATTGAAAGAAGGTTTGGGTTGGAGATACAATCGGAAGCTCAATGGGTTCATGGATGCATGGGAATCTTGATTGCGGCTTGTTTGTCTGCTTGTGGGCATATTGTCATGCTGTAGACAGTACATATATTTGGTTTAGGGCAAAAACTTGCGATATAAAAACACTTCGCCCTAAACTAGCAATTATCTTGTTGAGGCATCGGGGAGTAGAAGTGGAAGCTAGAGATGAAGAAGATATAGTGTTATTATGAAAAATTTGCAAGTGGAAGTGTTTTAGGGTTTTTGTGTTTTTTTTTTCTTTTTCATGAACATATGAAAGTGTTTTTGTGCCATAAACAATCTGTCCTTTTTTTGTAGAGCTAACAATACTATTGATTAGCTCTACTCGTACTTTTCCATTGAATACATCGTACTATATGTTTCGATGAATTGTACTTACCTTTTGAACACATGGTACTTTATTTTGAGATGAATTGAGTTTGTATGCGTACCATAAAAATGAACAACAAATACTTTCTAGTCTATTCATAGATACCTTGTCAATACAAGACTTGTACTTCACATGTGTATTCATTGTACTTACTTGATGAACAAAGCGTACTATATTCACGAATAACTTGTACTTCACATGTGTATTCATGAAAAACTAATATTTTCCTCAAATGTTACCATAATCGATGTTGATCGACTCCCACATTGTCTCTATTCATTTTTAATAGTCTTAAAAAGAAGAATTGTGTCTTAAAATATGATTATATCGATGCATTGGCCCCACAATTATATATAGTGTCACAATACTATATGAATGGCAAACATATATTTTATGAATGAACAAAGCGTACTATATTCACGAATAACCTGTACTTCACATGTGTATTCATTGTACGTACGTGATGAACAAAGCGTACTATATTTTGCGATGAATTGAGTTGTACCAATTTCATTGACACTTTAATGATCAATAAGTATGGGAGATGTGTAAATTATGTTTTAGATGAGTATTTTAAGGTAGGCGAGCATTATTCTCGCGTTTGGAATACAAGATCCCATAAATATGTTGAATTTCATACATGATATTCATATACTATACAAGATACTCATATAAGTGTACAATGCTCAAGTGTAAAACTAATATTTTCCTCAAGTGTTACCATAATCGATATTGATCGACTCCCACATTGTCTCTATTCATTTTTAATATTCTTCAAAAGAAGAATTGTGTCTTAAAAATGTGATTATATGGATGCATTGGCCCCACAATAATATATAGAGTGTAACAATACTATATGAATGGCAAACATATACTTTGTGAATGAACAAAGCGTACTATATGCACGAATAACCCGAACTTTACCAGTATATACATTAAACTTACTTGGTGAACAAAGCGTACTATATTCACGAATAACCCGAACTTTACCGGTTTTTACATTATACTTATTTGATGAACAAAGCATACTATATTGACAAATAACCCAAACTTTACCAGCTTATACACTGTACTTATTTGATGAACAAAGCGTGCTATATTCACGAATAACCCGAACTTTACAAGTTTATACATTGTACTTACTTGGTGAACAAAGCGTACTATATTCATGAATAATCCTAACTTTACCGTACTCTTATGTTCACTAATTAAACAACAGTACATAGGTTTGATACGCCTTCGTATTGCTGCCCGATCTTTTACATTGTACGCTTGCATGAGAGCCACAACCCTCTGCAAGCTGTGGTTTATTTTAGGCATATCCGTGTAGTGATATAAGAGATTTTCTTCAGTTCTTCATAATGTTGTTTCTTCATCAGCTTCTTCACACCTTCCATAGTTGCTTAAAAAGTGATCGGTGAGCACCTGCAGCCTATTGCTAGCTTGATGTTATGTTCTTTTACATCAATTCCTGCATTTACATACACATAAAGGTACAATTATAACAAATACAACGTACTACAAAGTTCCACTACCAGTACTTCCAGTAATTTCGTTCAATACCATCCAAATGCACTAGCAATACCATTGTTGCATGTGACACATACTACATAACAATCAAACACTATACTTTCAGTACCCTGTGTCAATACCAATCAAATGCACTAGCAATACCATCCAAATGCACTAGCAATACCATTGTTGCATGTGACACATACTACATAACAATCAAACATTATATGTTCAGTACCCTGTGTCAATACCAATCAAATGCACTAGCAATACCATTCAAAGGCACTAGCAATACTATTGTGGCATATGACACATACTACAGAACCATCAAACATTATACTTCCAGTATCATGTGTCAATACCATCCAAAGTCACTAGCAATACCATTCAAATGCACTAGCAATACTATTGTGGCATATGACACATACTACAG